CCAGCTGGACATGGGCTGGGCGGGAAGTTGTTTAATCAGCTAATTTGCTCTTCTTTCGCCACTGTTAGTTAATGACCACACCACCTCTGGATTATCTTGTCATCCCATCCTCTTAATCAGCGCTGATGAACTGCTCATCAAACTATTAGCCTCCTCTTGGCCCTTGACACGCTTCACAAGGGTTATATGTCTGTAATTAAATCCAATTTGCCGGGTCATATTTCTCTCTTTAATTGACAGAATGGAAGCCGTTTCTGTCACGTTTATTCAGTGACCAAGAGACCTCAACCTTCACCGCACAGCAAATTAAGAAATTACAATCAAATGAAGAAAGCATCACAACTATGTGGAAAAAAATCCTTTGATGATAAATAAGGAAAATAAGCTGCAAATAAATAAGAATGTTTTGATGGCCTTGATGTTTTTCCCTGTACAGTGTTTTTGGGCCTGTGTGTACACTGAGTGCTATTATTAAAAAAGACTTCATATACTAGAAACTGGAGTCAATTTCTTCTATTCGTGAATATACTTGGCAAATAAATCTGATCTTAACTTGTTTGATTGTGTTTCGCTGAATTGCGGTGTTTTGAACTCTGTCAGCCTGAATATATTTTTGTAATATATTAAAACAAATCTGGTATGTATGTGAATAATACAAAATGTGCTTATCATATTTATAGGCTTAGCTTCCTGATGAAACTGGCATATATATAAACATATGTAATGTAATGTAATATATATTCGTGTCGTGTATATATAGATTTTAACAATCCACTGTAAAAAAAGCCTATTTTCATATTAACATATAGGAGAGATTGGGATGGTCCTCTTGGCTGTTTTCAGAAGGTTATATTGCAGATTTTGATTAAATACTAACTATTAGCATTGCTTCTACATAATAATTAACAGGTGTATTGCACATTACGTTTTTCATCTTCAGAGGCTTTTTATGGCATTTTATCAATCAGACTGTTTAGAGCACAGTCAATTGGATGAAAGCAAATGTTGCTAATCATATACCACTGATCAATATGGGTTACAATACTGTCATTATGATTCTTATTAGTTATCTGCTGAGACAATAACGATCATTATCAGACACCGTTTTTTTCAACTGTGTTTCCACTATGAGTTACTTTCATTCATGGCAGGCTGTTAGCTTGATTGTTAGCAATTCCAACGCCTCATGTTACCTGGCAGAAAAAATGATCCCAAAGTGAGTTCCAGAGATTTCAAACCAAAGAGGGTGCAAATATTTATACAAACTCAATCAGAAAATAACTGGTATCCAAGAGAGAAAGTTGTACTGATGCTAAAAAACACACATTCAGCGTACCAAGCCTGATGGCCACATGGTATTGCTAAATTGCCAATTACTGATGAAGTTCTTTTGTAATATTTGTGAATTTTCAAGCCCTTAACAATCCTTTAACAACTTTCCTGCTACCCCTACAATGTAACACCCTGTTGTTATCTTGTAAAAGCTATTGTAAACTGGGCATTCAGGTAACAATAGATAAAAGTATGGTTATGGTAACATAACAGCATATAGTAAGGATCAGTAATGGAATATCTCTATAAGCTAGTTTGTGTAATAAACTAGAACCCACCAAGTCTGCCTGAGTTTTCAGCTGAAGATCCTAGCTGCCTGTTTAAGCCACTGTTTGCTGTCTCAGCACAACCATGATGCACTTTTACTCTAGGTGAAAGAGTTGTGATGTCTAAAATAATTCAAAACATCAAGCTGACCCTATACAGCAAATAAAAACTATCGATCCGCCCTCCCCAACTCCCACTTTAAAAGACTTATTGTGGAGCTCCATTTTGTCTAACCACTTGGCAAAAGAGTCCAGGGTCTAAATAAAGAAAGAATAAATAAAAAAAGACCCCGGGCCAACGTGTTGCTCTCACCTTTGCAGATGAAATTACCCGAAAAGCTGTTACAAATCAATATAATCAATGCAATCAGCTAACTGGCACAGGCAATCTCCTGCCAGTAAGTAAAATACCCCCGGCGGAGATCTTTCAATCTCTAGTGCCATAATTGCCCCCAAGGGCGACGTTAGGGTGTAGCATTTTGTACACTTAATTAAATTAGTGAGCTCTGTGGACAGGGTGGGATGCCGATCTCCCAGAGAACGAATAGATCTGGCCCTGAGCCAGTAATTAAAGCAATACCTTTCCTGATTACGCCAATCCCCCTTAATGAACTCATTATGCATTTTAACCCAAACACTCCCATGAATTAATGAGCACAAAGAAAGCCCCTGCACGGAGAGAACGCTTCGATCACAAACACAAGTCATAACTCATCCACTCAACGGGGCAGACGTAATGTCCATATGTCTCCCTCTTTCAACAGCAGCCAAGGCTAATTTTGACTTGAGTGATGGCAAAAGTTCTAGGTCTGCACACATTGGTAACTTTGGTAATGTCTTTGGGCACAGATAGGACTACACATTAACACCCACACAGGTTTCAAAACATATGTGTAAGATGATTTAAAGAGACCTAGGAACAGTGCAAGGTGGGAGCAGCTCTGCGCTGACCCATAATGCTTTGCTAATTAAATAATTCACTAATTGATTCATTGCCAAATCAATAAAGCCTGCAGATGGTTTATGGTGTGAGAGCTAAAGTGTGTTTGTGTTTGAGGACTGCAGAGGGTTACAAATGAAACACACAAATACACCAGCACACACACACAAATACACCAGCACACACACACACACACACACACACACACACACACACACACACACACACACACACACACACACACACACACACACACACACACACACACACACACACACACACACACACACACACACACACACACACACACACACACACACACACACACACACACACACCTGCTGGTGCATCCACCTGACTGAACGATAAGCAAAAGCACATGAAATTGGTGCTAAAATGTAGGTGACTATTGAGTTGACCTTGTGCTGTATGACATCATTTCAGACCCTCACAGGCAGATGATAGTGAATATAAAAGGCATGGGACACTGTGTGTGTGTGTGTGTGTGTGTGTGTGTGTGTGTTCCATAAACACAGCTCTGTCCTAGACCCAGTCCCAGGGGAGTCTGGGCTTTGTAGGTGGGCCTGAGCAAGAAATCAGTTGGGATATCATTAATTCAAGTGTAATGAATCCTTAGGTTATTTGTGTATAAAAGGGCATATGCACTGTAAATATGTGGTCTGTTATGTATACTTTATGACAGGTCATTTGTGTGAGTGTGTGTGTTTGTGTAGGCCTGCATGGTAAGATTGGAATTACCTTTGAAAGTAATTGGGACAGCAGTGAAGTGTGACATCTTACTGATCTGAGTGGACGCAGGGGCTGTAAATCCAGCTACATGAGCAGTTTGATATTTGTTTCCAAGGATGTGTGTGCACACACACACACACACACACACACACACACACACACACACACACCACACACACACACACACACACACACACACACACACACACACACACACACACACACACACACCACACACACACACACACACACACACACACACACACACACACACACACACACACACACTCACCATAGTGCTCAAAATACTGTCGGATAAAGGTTATGCTCGTCTTTCGTGAGAGATGATTCTTTCTCAGTTGGATTAAAAAAAGGACAGCATTTCTAATTGTATGTGAAACTGCATAACAACAAAGAAAACATAATACCATTCTCAATAACACTCAATACTTTACTTTTTTTCAAATGTGTTTTCAAGGAATAAATGTCAGCTTTATTATTTATTCTACTTTATGAAGACAAAGATTAATGGACAGCCATTGATTTTACAAAATGAATTATTTGAATGACCTTTGATGAACGTTTGAATTACATTTGTCACAGTGATCTACTAGCCACTTGTGTATTTTTAAACCATTTCTGTACCCTGTTCACACTTGATATTCTGATATAAAAATGTCTCCACTCTTCTGGATCCGACTAAAGATTTTGGAACTTGGCTGCAAATTAGCTCCCAGTAAAGCATTAGTTAGGTTTGGCACAGATGTATTGTTACAATTGACTTTTAATTTCAACCCTAAAGGGGGAGTTCAAGCCAGGACTCAGAGCAGGACCATAAAGTTATTCAACACAAAACTGTAACATAAGTTCCTTATGAACATGAGTGAAAGACATTGTCATATCAAAGCAGTAAAAGGTAATTCCCAAAATGTTCCCTCAAAGCAGAAAGCACAGCATTTTCTTAAATACTGTCTAATTATTATTTACTTAATGGTAAATAAGTGAGTGAATATCGAAGTACACACCTCACTCGGCAGTCCTATTCTGTGAGATTCGCTGGCTGATCTCTTCCCGGCAGACCGGGGCAAATCTAGAAGGCAGTGGTAGAATTGAACAAAGTACATTTACTCCAGTACTGACCCGACATACACATGTTTGTTATTTATAATTCAGCTCCAAATGCAGAAGTATGAAATAGAGCTTTAGTTTTACAGTTACATATTCATTATCTCAATACCAGACATATGATCAGATTATAAAAATATGATGCTCTGTTATTGATTAAATCAGTTCACATGACCTCGATCCAAAATAAAATACTACTTGCTCATTAATGCATCATTAATGGCAGTTAATGACACTTTACAGTTTTCTAAATTAAAAATACGTCATGCTTTCACTTGAGAAACGTTATCAATGCTGGACTTTTTTTTGCACATAATATGCAAAGGATATATTACAATATTTCCAAGGGAAATTAGCTCTTCCTTCATAGTAATGAAGAACATTTATGAAATGACCCTTTTGAAAGCATCCTGTGACGCTGCCACGTTACCGAGGCAGCAGCTGAACAAACTCATTCAAATGCTATCTGAATACATATTGTGTTTATCATGAATAATAATTTTTTTATCTACATACCGGTACTTTTCTTGGACTGCTTTTAAGTGAAGAATACTGTTTGATGTCAAAATTAAATGTAAAACAAGTGCTACATATTTATTCTTTATTTATTCTTTGCAATTCATGAGATAAAACAGAATTGTTCATAAATAAATAACACATTCTTTCCTTCGAATATCTGTGAACTCCATCCGTACACTTAGAAAATATAAAATGATTTTACTAGCTCCATGGTATTAACAAAACAAAAAAAAATCATCTTCAGACATTTTCAAAACGTATTATTAAAAAGATTATATATTTAAACCTTATGCCAATTTCAACTCCAACAATTTAATGTAAAGGTTAACCATTAAGGATTCTAATGTGGTCCAATATCACCGCATACAGGGTCACGAAAGCACCCATCTCAACTTAAATGCCCAAAGTATTATTTCATTAAACGATGGTTTTAAAAAAGGTCAAGTGTGTAGAATTTAGAGGCACATAGGGTTGAGGTTGAAGCAGATTGCTACTGAACAGATCTCCAATCTCAAGCATGTCAGAGAACTACGGTGGCCTTAAGGAAAAAATACAATCATGAAAGACCCTCTCTAGAGCCAGAGTGTGGTTTTTCTGTTCAGGCCGAAAATATGGCAGTCAAACATTGCCGACCCTGTGGAAGAGGATCTCTTACTATGAAGGGGTCATTCAAAATGTCCCAATAATTAAACAATTCCTTGTTTCAGATGATATTACTGGAATGAAAACATACTGTAGTTTTTATTAATATTTTACATTTTCTGCCAATAAATCCTCCTAAAACCTACACACTTGTCCTTGAAAAGAAAGGTACCATTGAGGTTGACTACTTCAGACCTTTAATAATATGGGTAAACCCTGAGAGAACAAAAATAGTGAGACCTCATTCACACATGACAGGAAAATCAGAATTCACCACGAGTAGAGCAGAAATGAAAAAAAAAAAATATATTTTTAAAACAATACAGTGAAAAGTGAAGGTTAAACTGCAATGGTGGATATGACAAATGCAAAAAAAAATGAAATTCCTTAAAGTGATAAAAAGTTCATTCTCTATCGTGAAAGTACAGTTACAGTAACACCTGACCCGTACGCAGACACTCTTTGTTGAGTTTTACAAAAGAGCCTCTTCACACATCATCAGCTGCACAGACAGAAACATCTTCATGTCAACATGTGGAGCCGTGATGGAGGAGCACCACTGTGTGTTTAAATGCAGCATTGCAGGTGAGGAGCATTCTGCCTCTAAGCTTTCCCCCCATTACAAACAAAAACAGTACGAGTTAAAGTGAGGAGAAAAGCTGAAGGCCAAGTAGTATATTTGTGACTACAGCACACAAGCGTAACACAAGATGTTACACACAATAAACACTCAGGAATTAAGATTAAAAAAATAAAAGGAAGTGGAACGTTTCCTTCTCGGTAGGGAATGAAATCAAGATACATATTAAACCCATCCACCGGACAGTTCGGCAAAGCTTTAATGTCATCCCTTTTTCCTATTAGATACACAAACTTAAGACAAAAACTTTTTTAAGTAATATTTAGAAATTAGCACAATTGGATAGGCTAAGCTTAGCATAGACACTGAAAACAGATGGTAACAGCTAGCCTCGCTTAATCTAAAGTTATCGAAATCTGGCATACCAGCACATCTAAAGCTCACCACGCTATGTCCTGTGGTAAGTATACAACGAACCACTTTATTGTTATCATTATTATTATTATTTTCACTTTGTTTTTGTACAGATTAAACAAACACTATATTACATGATGAAGAGTTTGTAAAGTGCTTGTCGGCAGACTTTTTACATTTAGACAGCATCAGGCTAGCTGTCCCTCCCTCTTTCCAGTCTTTATGCAAAGCTAAGCTAACAGACTGGCTCCAGATTTAAATTTAACGGACAGATATGAGAGTGGTTTTTATCCGATCATGCAAATCTCGGAAGAGCAATTTTTGCACAATGTCGAACTATCCCTTTCAAATGATACGGAAAAGCTGCTTTGAATTAGAAGCAACATTTCTACCTTGCCAAGAGCATTATATTGCAGGTTGAAAACACATGTAAGGCCCTTCAGATTCTTCAGATCAGGTCTATCACTACAGGAGCCGCCTGTGAGAGGCAGGCTGGATCTTAGGATTCAAACTGAATGCTAAAACTGTTGCCAAGCTCCCCATGCTGAGTGAAAGTCAGCACCTCAACTTTTATACTCAAGTCAATAAATAAAAAGAAAAGATCTTCAAGCTAAAAATAAAATACGTTCATTTGTGTGTGCAAAGGTTTCCATGACACCCACGTCCAGTTCACCGTGCATGTTCACACCATGTTGGTTTGCGTGTTGGGGCTGCAGCTCTGCAGATCCTGTACCTGGTCCAGAACCCAGTGGATGTTTGGTCTCTCCTGCGGATTGGACATCATTATGGAGCTCAGCAGCATCTTCAGGCTCCCCGAGTAACTGAGGACAAACAGAGATCAGATTAGAGCTTAGTTTGAGCCGTGGTCAAATCATCTTTAACACCTGTCAAAGGTCATTCATATATATATATATATATATATATATATATATATATATATATAACAAATGTATGATTTGTTGCACTAGATTGACTAACAGAAAGTGAGTTTTCCTGGACAGAGCTGAACAAAAACAACCTAAACAAAAACTCTTTTTTGGATTGCACTTGATAACTCTGACTTACAATAACTTAGCTGCGGACTAACACAGGCTTTTAATAAGTATAAGGAAACATTTAAGATACAGCTCAAATTGTTCTTAAATCTCAATCTCTACATGTATGGCAGCCTTTCCATTCCAGTGTCTGTTAAATTCCAACATACTGTAGAGAAATGTTGTCAGTAGTTTATAGAATAAAATATATTAATTTAGTCAAACGCATGCCTATAAATAGTAGACCCAGAGAAATGTTGCAGTGGTCTCTACATTTTTTCTAGAGCTGTATCTTAGGCCCCATTTACACGGGAACGCAAACGAAAACGAACCGAATTCGATATCAAAAAAGTATTCCGTTCACACGGATACGGCTCAATAAACGTGTCCCTTCACACGAGACCGCTCGACCCGCACGACCCGCTGTAGTACATATGCCGGGCCTGTAAGTGGCGCTGTACTTCCGCCACAAAATACACCAAAAGCAGCGAAGAAGAACCCCGAGCATGGTTGCCATGGTTGCCCTTCTGTTTATTCTCCACGGTGGATTTAGCAACATGTAGTTCATGTAGTTCTCCATGTCCACTTGTTGCTGATGGTTGTGGTAGAGGAGCTGTAGATGTTGCACTAACATCTGTAGCATGGTCAGTAGCAGTAGCTACTGACAGTAGCTTGTGGGTGTTTCTCAATCGCGAGTAAAGCTGCTTCAGAGCCACTATTTCAAGCATACTACGTCATCGAGTGCCGCCGAAGTACTGTTCCAATCTCCAGCATATTTGGAAATCGACCGAGCCCGGCGTACTCCCTTTGGAGAAATATCGAGGCTGCACATGAGTAGACTCCGCGGTATTAAAATCCCCACAATGCTTTGCGCACGGACCAATTTCCAAAATCTGTGGCAGAAAATGTAAGGCAGGGCCTCTCATATGACACACACCTGCACACTTGCTAGCCTGTTCCACTCTTTGTTTTCCAAATGTCAGGACGTATTCTTGACTCGCTTCTGAAGCAAGATGCTCGGCAGACATGTGCTACCAAGCAAGCGTACTCGCGATTGAGAAACACCCACTGACCATGCTACAGCAGAGGTGGGGAGAGGCGGGGCTATCGTTATCAGGAAAATGATCGTATAGGACTTACACACGGAGCCGTTTGGCCCCCCAGAGCGTTCCGTTTGCAGATCTATCCACCTTGGGACCCGTTATCGTTTTAGAGGTCCGTTTCCGCGGTTCCGTTACGGACTCGTGTGAACGAACAGGCTATACGAAAGAGAAAAGTAGCGGATACAACCCGTTTGGTTCCCGTGTAAACAGCACCTTAGTCTGCGATGGCATTAAATAACTACAGGTTTTTATTACACATGTTAATTGAGTAAGTTGTGTGTCTTCTAGTATTCAGTATGTCCCTAAAATCAGTCACACCTACTCACAACTTGGCTCAACTTCTAGATAAAATGGAGAGGATTCTTTCAAGCCAATTAACAGAATTGGGTTCACCAACAGGATAGATTCTTCAAGTTACACTGTAAGATGATGTGATATTCTGAAGACTGACCTGCACGACTGTGGGATGGTCACTGGATTCTGGACAGCCAGGGCCACGCTGTCCCCCTTCTGAAATACCATGTCATACGGCCCCTCCAACATCATCATGCAGTAAAGCACACAGCCCAGTGACTGAAGGAGTCAAAAGACGAGAAGAAGAAATGGTCAGTGATTTATCCACAGTAACATTGGCACCGTGTTTCAGAGGCTTACTGATGTCACTCACACATGAGAAAAACATGAAACAAACAAGACCAAAGGATTGAAGATAAAGAGCATTTACCCAGATATCAGTTCGCTCATCTATAATGCAGTGGCTCTCTACATTGAAGAGTTCAGGAGCCCTGTAGGAGATGGTGCACCGCTGCGCTGCCCAGTCCTGTATGGTCATGGCTTCTCTGGTTCCTCGAACCTGAAGGTAAACCAGTTTCATTAAATTCATGGCAGGGTAAGGGTCATTTAGAGGACCTAATGTTTGGAAGATAAGCCTTTAAAACATGAAACATATTTATGAAATGTTGCGTCAACTCTTAATTATTTCATGACAAACTTTAGAAACTCTTGATTTAAAGCACAATTAAATTAATGAGTTTGTGTTGGGGGTGGCGGACACACAGAACAATGTCAAATTTTCCAAATGGAAAATAAGCCAGAGCATCAAACATTGTTGGAAGCATTTACGAAAAATGGGAATCCTTTTCCAGGCAGAAGACTGGAAGTTTGCTTTAACAGGTTTAAATCTTTAAAATGCTGCTCTTTACATATCTATACATATATTGGTAGAACATAAAAAAAGTGAAGATTTGTATTCTGTGAAAGAAAGAGACAATATCCAGTAGCTGTTCCTTTAAAAGATTTGTAGAATGATATTTTAAATTGTGGTCAATTGGAATTAAAAATCTTACACTGCCATCTAGAGCTGGAAATCTGGACCTTCTTTATTATGTATTTTATTGAGTCTTCATGTTAACTGCACATTGCTACACGTTAGGTTGTAGTATCTGATGTTAGAATTCAAACGCAACACTGCTATTTCGTCTAAGCTTGCTCGCATCTCTTGGTCTTAACTTTTAGACCACTTTCTTGTAGATAACATAGGTTTCGTTATTCACTTTTTATACTAAGAAATGCTCAGCAATGTTTTACATTAATGTTACACCTTATTTTGTTATATCAACAGACACAACCATAGAAGTAATGCACTTTGTTCTCACACAGTAAGTTAAACTAACAAACTATTTTGGACTTGGTGTTGTTGGATCAAAAAATGAAGAGATGAGGTAAATATTACAAACTCATCAAAGACTCTGCGCCCTTACCTCAATCCTAGCACGGTTCATGGAGCCCAGGTCCATCAGAAACGGCCTATCGTCCTCATCCAGAAGCACATTTGTCGGCTTCAGGTCTCTGGCAGATTAGGGCAGACACAGAATAGGTTCAGAGGTCTGCATTTCAATGGTGTGAATACGAAAACGGAACACACAAAATCTTCCTTCTGTAAAAGATAGTAAATAAAAACATGACTGTTTTCAATTGGCTAAAATTAAAATTCTCGATTGTAAAAGGATTTCCGTTGACCGTGAGTTGAATGACTAACTACGATATTCAGAATACTCTCATTGTGATATAAACTGTAAAACATTATACTTAGCCAAGCAGTACGCATTTACAATTGTTACTGTACATTTAGGAAACTGAAGTTAATTATTTATCAACTGTAGGCAATTTTTCATGACTTTATCATCTCGAAATGCTGGCGTGGTGTGAATCCAAAGAGCATTAACTGGACCCCTGAGTCATGCAGCATCTGAGCTAGGGGTGCAACAACTAATTGACTTAATCGATTAAAATCGATGACCAAATTAGTTGCCAACTAATTCAGTCGTCGATTCGTTGGTGACGTCATCACGTGTGTTTCACAGGCAGTTAAGCTCCAACGTTATCGGTCTTTTTATCGGTACTGGAGACATTTAAAACATATATGTCATATGTATTATTGCTACATTAACATTAGTCTTAGTGTCGCCAACTCCATTTCTAATATGCAATAAGACTACAAAATTATGTATTTTCGATATTTCCAATCCAGACGAGAGATTTCTCCCCTGTCTGTGTGCGAGGGGGCGGGGCAGTTTACACACACGCAGCTGCTACATGCAGCAACACACACACACACACGACGGAGATGGCGGAGAGAAGCGCTCCAAGGTGTGGTTAAACTTTACCCGTCTCGATGTGGACAATGCTCGTTGCCAAAAGTGCAATAAGAGTTTAGTATCTAAGGGTGGTAACACGAGCATTTTGTCTAAACATTTAGCAAGTGTACCACATTCAAACGGAGAAATGCACCGTTTTCGACTGTCTTTCTAGCTCTATAACCCCATCCACGAGTAACTTTTCCACGTCAGGTGTTATGTATGCTAGCAGCAACACAGAGAGTTAACTAAATTATACAAACATGGGTTAATGATTAGAGGTAACTGAGCTATTTATTTTGTTAAAGTTTCAGCTATTCTGTTTACAGTTCTGTCATCAGATTATTTAATATGATTTGTTAAAACATTGTTGTTTCTTTTGATGTGAAATATTATTTATTTAACTTAAATAAAAAGCTATGTTAATTGTGTTAACAATTTATTTAGTTAGTTTACCTTGTTTTTTTTTCAAAAGAACCGTTAAGAGTACCGTTAAAGGACAGGATCGATAAGCAGTATCGATAAAAGTAGTAGTACAGTTAAAACTTTAACGATCTGAATAATCGATTAATCGATTATCAAATTAGTCGTTTGTTGCAGCCCTAATCTGAACACAGTGCAAGGTTCAACTATGATCAAAAGCGACTCCAGCATTCCAAACAAACTCTGGGGTGTAACCTCAAAACTGAAAAATAGTTTTTATGCTGGTCCGATGCATGTAAATGTTTGTTTCCATGTGTGTGTATGGAGAAAGATTACCTGTGTGCATAGCCTTTTTCATGCATGGTCTTGAGTCCAGAGCAGATACCACGGAAGATTTGCAAAATCTGTTTTTCAGACATTAAGCTCCCCTTGTCCCGTAACTTCTCCAAAACAGACCACAGGCTGCCTTTCTGTTCACACAAACACACAAATCAGAATCAGCTCATTTCCCACAGGAGTTTCTAGGCAAACTCAATGTTGCATCAACTTACTCCAATATAAGGCAGCAGTAACCAGGCTTCAGTCTTGCCTCCACGGTCAACAAAGGTGTGCGCAACTATGCTTAAGATGTTGGGGTGATTAAAAATCTGATGCATCTCCATCTCTGTCTGCGCCTCCTGGCGGCCTTCACGGTCATGGCACAGGATCTTCTTCAGGGCATAGAAGCGCCCGTCCTTTGCCCCCTCTACCAGGTCAACATAACTGAACCCCCTGACGAGAGGACACAGAGAACAGCATATGAGTTGTAATAATGGTTTAAAGGAAAAGGCTTTATTTTTTATGTTATCAACAAATCCAGAGAAACCTCTCAACAATCCTGTTTAAACTCAGTTCCAACGCGCTTTGTTTCTACTAAAAACGTTATAATATAACATTTCACAAATGAAAATGCTATATGATTTCACAAACAGTTTTGAACAACAATGGACATCAGAGAAATAAGTTATTACAGGCTTTGACTTGTAGGATTAATTGATTTTTCTCTTTTTATAGGATTTGTTGACAATCAAATAGAAAGTATAACATCAGATAAACTGCAATTAAGTGGAGTTTTTAAATGAAACAATGTCTTAATGGTATATTACCCTTCGTCTAGTTTCTGCACAAAGTAATATTTTTTGTTATCAATGGTGATGGAGCCACGGGAGCAAATACACAGGGTCTGCCCCATCTTGACTGGTACATTATTTAACGCCAAGCTTTTAAGGGCCTGAGAGAAAGAAGACAAACAAAGTTATTTGAGAGAAAAAGCAAGACAGAGAAATACAGAAAAGAAGGCAATTTATTTACTAGATTAGCATTTATTATCAAAATAAAACTGGGATCATATGTAAAGAAACACGGTAAGACTGACAAGTGTCAATAAACGTTAGCTAACATAGCACATCACAAACATCTAACGTAAGCTTAGCAACAGGCTAACAGCCACAATGCGACATTAACGTCGTTGTTTAACGTTAGCCCCAATGGTGGTGTTAGTTAACTACCTGACACAAGAATAAGCTACACACAAAAAAAACATATGTTAAAATTGGTGGCTTAACGTATTGATTCTTACCAGCTAGCTGTCTGTTTACCAAATTAGCTTACTGTCATATCTCCTCCTCCATCTTCTTCTTCAGCCCTTTTAAACCAGCGTTTAAAGCGCTTTACCTCCACCTACTGCTTCGGAGTGTGGACCAGAGGTTAAGGCACCATTAAACTTAAAATCAAGATATAAAATACAAAATATTTGAATAAACAAACAAGCCAAACATATCAAAAAGTGTATTAAAAAAAGTACATATAAGTTCAACAGACAAACAGTTATTTAAAAAAAATGTTGCCAAAAAATTGCTCAAAGAGAGAGCACTGTCTTTCCACTTAAATATGACATTTACCCAAAACATTTACCAGATTATCAGCATCTGAAAAGTTTGGGTTAAGGTTGCCCATAAAATAAATGATATCTTTGAAGAATAAATAGCCAACCAAGAATATCAGACCAACAAAATATTAGCATATTAACATTCAAAAACAATAATGTGAGAGATAGCATCCAATTAACCTTATAATTAACCTTTATATAGACTCAGGATCCAAAAGGCAATAGATTAAATACAATAACTGTGAGATATTTTTGTGTGTGTATGGGACAGATTAAATTGCAACCCTAACCATTGAAAGCATACATGCTGAGAAACACATACAAACTGTTTATCTGTGAAATGTCCTGCTAATTGGATCCTTGAGTTCAAAGACAGAAACTGAGAAAAGAATGGTGTAATGCTACTTGTAACAGAGCTCTATGGTATTTATACTTTTACAAGATCTGAGTACTTCTTCCAACTCTGTAGGAACCTTTGTACCCTACTTAAAGGCTCTGTCAACTTGCCGAGTTTTACCTCATAATAATTATGCTTTGAACTTGAAGACACTAACACCATCATCAGACAATTTAAAAGGACTGACATTCAAAATGACTGTACAAATATTGTACTTGTACACTCACTTGGAGGGTGTTGTCATTTAATACGTGACGTCTCTTTTCTTGTTCTTCGACGTTCACCTCACATTGATTGTCCCACAGCGCTCGGAGAAGAGCAGTGGCCTATACACATTTCAAATTCTCACACAGAAGGATGGCGGATTACAAGCAAAACAGAAGGGCTTGCACCGACGACGGAGGTGATATTTGAGCTATTTTAACGTCTAAATGTGGTTGAGAAGTAATCAGTTATTTCCATTGGCTTGCTTTGCTGCTTACAGAATGAGACGTGCCCCAGCTAATGTCAGACAGAGTGAACGTGTGTGCAACTTCATCAAGCTAACTCGATGTTAGCTACGTACTAGCAGCTAATGCGTAGTAACAATTCGCGTTGTATTAACATGTACTATGGAAATGTCGCTGGCTGTATATTAACTATCGGGCTAACGTGATAACTAAAGTTAATTGCAGACAGGTCTCGCGTTAGCGTAGTAGCCTGGCGTAAGCATAGCTATTTTGCAAAACGCTATAACTTCAAGTAGTTAGCGCAGGTAAACACCATGCTAGGGGTCCATGTATGTCTCACAGGGTCCTATGTTGTCCAGCTCAATAGTGTTTTTAATATAACTTTAAGGAGACATTTCAAAAGGGTGTTAGTTTTCTCCCAGGTCATATTCAGTGTATGTTTCCCTGGGTCAGTATCATTAAATCCCCCTTCCTATCGTTACAGTTTAATATCCTACTGATGTTGTCTGCAATAAAACCTACGCACTCAAATTTGCGGCCGTTCTTGACTTTAGAATTTGATAACCCCATATTGGCTGAACAGATTTTATATTAAAATTGCATTTAAAACACACATTGAGAGACGAATATAGCCTTTATCAATTTCCTACAATGTTAATTTATATCAAGAACATAGGACCCTGACAACATAGCATGATAACCACTATAGTCTAAGATCATATCACCAAGTTAATATACACCCTAATAATGTAGGTAAGTTATGCACACACCATCCTTAGTCCCCAGCTTTTAAACAAGTAAGTTAAATGCTAGAAAGATGGTAAGAATCTAAAGTGAACTGCTATAAATGTAATATTAGCCACACAGGTAAAGGTGATGGCTATTATTATTCTCCAACTCCCAGGAAGCAGTTGTTCACCTTGTTGAGTTGTCTTGCCTCAAGCAGGGCCGCAGGAGGAGGGAGACAGAGTGAAAACTAAGCCTGTCTCTTGTAGCTCTGTGGGAGGAGAAGGGGCCGCAGTCAAACGCAAATCCCAGCAACTCATACCTGAAGATGAGGACGATTCCTCTGAAGACCTACCAGCTCCCCCCAAAGTCTCCAAGATAGGCTTTAGCATGAGCAGTCCCATGGCGAAGAAGTCAAACCCAATATCCATCAAACTTGGAGCAACAGTGAGTGTGTCATAAGGCATAATAATAACTGCTTGTACAGATACTATTTGAATGTTGTCCTCATTGTAAGTGATGTTGAGGGGGAAAAAGCTACAAATCCCCATATTTGATGTGTCGATCCAGGTTTTATATTGCATTTTAAGAAGATGGATGTTTTTGTTTGCATAAATCTTGTATTCCCAATCTGTTCTAGAAACCCAAAGAACCTGCACCTTCCGCTCCTCCAAAGAAGTCAGGGCTGGCTTCTGTTTTCGACGAAGATGATGTAAGTGAAGTGTTCACACACACGTAGTAAAGTCCTGGTTTTAAAATCCTTAAACAACAAATAGGCAGAGCCTGATTTGAACTATTTTCTTGCTATGCAGAGTGAACCTGAGGAGATGCCACCAGAAGCAAAGATGAGGATGAAGAACATTGGCAGGTATAATTCACATGTCAACATGGCCTACTTTATAATTGTTCCATTAGCTTCAGCTCTTTTCAAAACATTTAGCTTTTGAATCTATCTAAATGAAATGCTACATCTCACATTGAGTAATTGGAAGTTGCTAATCTCTTCTCTTTTTCAGAGAGACACCAACATCTGCAGGTCCCAATTCCTTCAACAAGGGCAAGCAGGGTTTCTCTGATCATAAAAAACTGTGGGAGAGGAAGATGAAGGCCCAAGCAGACACACTGTAAATGACCACAACCTTTTTTGTCACTAATTGATGATTTTGTATAGTTTAAACCATATCGGAGATATCTATGAAATATGTCCCTGCTGCAGTGTTGACATCCTCTCAACTTTGTGGCAAGTGATGAATAATACATAATGACGTTTACGTTTTTAACCACTACTGGCTGATGTTACCTGAGAGGAGAGGTATCAGTTTGTCAACCCTCTCTGATCCGGGGTGCAGACTGGGATGCTGTAGATATGGGAGAAATACATTGGCCCGAATATCGTTTTAAATTGTGTAAAATAAATAAAATAGGTTGCTTTCTGCTAGCTTATTAAAAAAACTAGAATCTAAGAGCCCTGATGCCCCTTTTGTGACATGCATGTTCAGACCTGAAGCTGGTAAGCTAGCTCTTACAGTCACTTGTAACATATTTGTAAGTGTGATATTGTTTTATTTTTGAATCCATAAAATGGGATTGTGTGTTTGAGTGTGAAGTCATCATGCATGTGCGTGTGTGCACAGCATTGATTAGAGCTGCAGATGGATTGTTCTTTTTCATTTAGTTTCTCAACACCATTGTATAACCCTTTGTGTTCACCAGCTGTGCCCGACATACACAATTTTTCTGTTTTCTTTTATGTTTGTTTGTGCGTTGGGCCAGTATTTCTGGGTTTGTTTACTCAATACTATATTTCTGTCTGTTCAAACAAGTCTGGCAAAATGTGGCTGTCAATTTTTCTTATTTTCCCATTGAAAGGACTGATACTGTTATTTGTGTGAACACCGCCTTTAAAGGATACCAGAGTGATGGTAATACTTATACAACATGATTTATGGGGGATTAAACTGCAAGTTAGTAATGATTAGGTACTGGTAAAAACTCTTCCTCGCCACTTTGAAATCAGAAACCCCATGCTTCAGGAATATTACCCCACTCCTATTAGTTTAGATAAATAGGGTACCTCAGTGACTTCTCCTGTGCCTCCTTTTGGAAAATCCCGATAATCAGAAACTCTGTATTCCTCAGTGGGTTACCCGCCTGTTATGCTCCACCAAATGGATCACATAATTATCCACTGTTAAAACCTCTCTTGAATACATATCTATCTTAAAGTCAGCCAAATAAAAATTCTGAATGATCTGTATTGTGTCAAATGTTTATTGCTGTATGCTGAGACAGATGATCTACAACTGACAAGTTTACTGTTCTTAAACCTTTACAAACAGCCATATTAAAGGTAATATAAGTACAAATGTAAACATTGTTTGGGTTATATTTTGATCATGACTATGTAATATCAGAAATCCCTCATTTATTTAATTCTTAATGTTTAATGCCGGTGTTGTATGAAACGGTAATTATTACTTACATGTTACACTTAGCACAGTAGTGGTACAGATGGAAATTAAAGATCAGCATACACTCCTGCTCTGAGTGCAACAAATGGTGACTCACTTTTTCCCCATCACTTGCGTTGGCCTGCAACAGGTCCATGATGCTTAATCCAATAATACAAGCTGCTTTATAAAATAAATGAACTGAACATTTTAGAATTAAGTTATTGGTCAGTCTGTTAATTGTCCCTGCATGAGGGAAACCATGTTCACTCTTTGACTGGGCATGGCCTTCCTCAGAGACCTCCAGAAGCTGCTGGTCGTCCTGGCAGTTTTGCCTGAGCTCCAGTCCAGACTGGGAAGCACCTTCAAGGCCCTTTTGACCAGTGCTGGCAGCGGGGGGTCCGGCTGGATGAGGGCTGCTGAGTCTCTAGTGGTCCAAATCAGCAGGACTTTAAGGGCAGTGTTTTGCAGCAAAGCCTTAGATATGAAACAAGTAGCAAATCAGTCATGAGTTGTGGTTTGAAGATTGGAAAAAAACAGTACAAATTGTCAGCAAAGATAAACTTAACCCTTGAAATGAAACTTAAATTACATATTTCAATTTCCTCCATGCATCCCCTGGTTTCGGTTGATGTCAATAGATCAATTAAATGAAACCTATGTGGTTATTCGAGAATTGCTTGTAGTAAAAGAAGTGTTTAATTTAATCTTCAAATATCCTCTTGCTGCCTGATGAAGGTGTTTATGTTAGTAGTAAAATGTTTGCGGGTTGTCAGGAAACATACTGTGGAACAACAATTGCTTATGCCGTATTCACGTCATGTTTGATGGATGCTAGACATGGAAGAGAATCCCACTCAACTGAGTTGTTCGTGTGTGGATTAAAATAATGCGCATTGATAATATAAAACAATATCTATTAAATGTGTAGCGTAATTACATTAAACAGCTAAAAGTGATGCATCCACATTTTTTTTGCACTTCTGAAGTACAAAGTTGCACAGTTTATGAAATAAAGTTATATTTCACAGAGTTGGGAAACTAAAATGGCTATGATAACTGTAGCGGCACAAACTCCCTATGAGTTATGCCGCTGAGAGGCTAAAATGTGCTCTTTGCTGTGACGCGTTCCATATAAGAGTCCGAAGTCATTCATAGTCCATAGTGTTTAATAAAACGCAAACAAACAATGTACAACTCCCGACCTGACGATCAACAGAAAGTATCAGAGCAAATTCACCCTCTTCCTACATCATATCCTCCCAAACCGGCATCCAACAGGTGACCTAAATAACAATAAACTACACCCAAGTGACCATTGAGGTGATAAACAATAAGAATTAAATGCGATGCAAACAGAAATGAAGATAATAATACAAATAATAAGTAATGGCAAAACAAGCATTTTGGCTCTTACAATAACTCTGGTATCCCTCAACGTGGGAATAATCTTTTCCTTTCTGTGAAAAGGATTTCTGTGAAATCTTTTAGGTCTACCTGAACTCCCGATTCCAGCACGAACAAAGCATTGCTGTTGGAGAGATAGTCAGCTGACAGGACACAGATCAGCATCTGACTTCTGCGTATAGCAAGGACCACATCATTTGTGTATGCTGCAATAGAAAGAAGAAACCATCAAGAATACTTGAGGTCAGCACATGCATGCAGAAACACTCACACACACACACACACACACACACACACACACACACACACACACACACACACACACACACACACACACACACACACACACACACACACACACACACACACACACACACACACACACACACACCCTCTGACCTCCTCCAGGAAGAACGTCCCTCTCCAGCAGACACAGGCGATACCCCCACTGGTCCTCCAACACTCGGGGTAGCAGCACTTCTAAGGTGGATTTACCCTCCTCAATGTTCAGCAGGTCCATGCTGGATAAACATGCTGCCAATAGTGGTAACTGTTAATTGGACTTACCGATGTAATAAAATTCAGATATCATACACTGAATGTTTCGGCCTACCTTCCTCATGAGGTCCTTTCTGTGCGGAAAGGGTCAAAACTCCCTCCAAATCTACTGATGGGCTCCATACAAACGACAGAAACACATCAAATTCTTTCTCATCTAATTTGTGGTGGACGACATGAAAGAAAACAAATCATTAGATTTGGAAACCTGGTTTCTGCATGTATTTTCATTTGAGTACATTCACTGGATGAAGATGGGGATTTCAAAGTATGTTTCAGTACCTTTATATATGTCATGTTTATAAAGTTAAAGCCATAAAATACAAAGACATCCGCAATATGGACTCACTCTCAACCTTCAAATCCTGCCTGAAAACCCACCTTTTTAAACTGGCGTATTCAATATCTTAATTCTTCTAAACTGATTGTTGTTTTTAAGTCTTTGTTTTGTAAGTCTTGAATTACTGTTTGATCTTCTTTGTTGCTTGTTTTTAATTATGCTCTGTAAGGTGACCTTGAGAGCTTTGAAAGACGCCCATAAATAAAATGCATTATTATTATTATTAAAGAACATATTCACTTTGTGGTTGAGCTAGAAGTAAACCCATATGTAGAGGCGCTGTGTGTGTGTGTGTGTGTGTGTGTGTGTGTGTGTGTGTGTGTGTGTGTGTGTGTGTGTCTGCATTCTGACCCTTGTCATGTTTTCCGTGTTGTACACGAGATCTGTAGATAAGCTGTATTTCCAGCCATTTCACGTGCAAGATGATTCCTAGTCCAGATATCAGCAACAAAGATGCAAATGGATACCCAACCAGCGATGGCAAATGTACTGAAACCCAGTCAAAAATGTGCACATGCCTTCAGAGAAGCAATATTGAACTTGGGTCACTGAAGTTGAACTTGTTCAGTTCCAGAAATCGTGTGTATCTGAGATTGACGTTACAATGTTATGACAAAATGTAGTATGAATAAAACACAATAGAAAAATAAAACGACAATAATAAAAAAATACCTTTAATTTTCTTCTTGAGCTTGATGGTGCCAGTGCTGTTTCCAACACTGTTTTTGGCGATGCAGGTATATGTGTGCTTCAAGTGTTGTAGAGTCACCTTTTCTATGATAGCGTCTCTTGAGACTTTGCTCTGTGCACGTCCCACTTCTTTCTCCCTGAGTCACAGAAATCCTTTTAGTTTCCTTGCATCATAATGAACACTAATCATGCAAATCAACCGAGTCATTCTTTTTTACAATGTTACAGAATTTTACATACAAAACCCCTTGTGCTGCATAATTTAAAAAACATTGAAAAGGGGACTGCAGTGACTGACTTTTGCTCCTCCATGGGTAGTAGAGTCCTATTCTCCAGGTTGCCACCGTAATTCATGTACCATTCCACTGATAAGGTTTTCTCAGTTATAAAACTCGCCTCACACACCAGAGTGTGGGAATGACCTGCAACGAGTACAAAAACATGCTGATAATACTTTAACCCATAATATCCTAATAAAAGTGGTACTATAATTACATATTAAAGCACATGTGGACACCCTTACCAAGCTCCACTTCATGCGTCTCAATGCCACAGGGCTTATCAACCCTGGGAGGGTCACTTGGTGGTTCAGCTGTTTGGGAAATAAAGTCACACATTTCTGTATTATCATCTATCTTACTGTGTGTCTGAGAAACACTGTACAAATAAGATCTGAGCCAAACGTCTGAAAAAAACAACCTTTACATGTGTTAAAGGTATTAAGAAGCTCCACAAAACGTACAATTCTTAAATGAAAACAAATGAAAACATGTAATTCTGCACAGTGTGGCAAGGCTTGCAGCAACCACACACAAAGATAGCCACTTGCTGTGGAGGAAGCCTGGTGGTTTTGCCAGCAGCCAGACAAAAACAATTAGAGGGTGAGTGTTCAAAGTTCAAACTCAACTATTTTAACGAGGAACTACAGCAATGCAGTAACATCACAGAATACACTGAATTTGAAAGAGACATCCCTTTAGTACGTTTTTCTGTAAAGGCTTTTTGCATTTTCATTTTTGTATGCATGTGTTACACAAACATACAAAAATGAAACACATGATGTGTGTTATGATAATGCATCAAGAAAGCAGATTAAGAAAGGCCTCATCTTATATGTGGATCATCATCCAATATCGACACGTCTCATTCACAAACAGAAAATGTCAATCTAATGGTGGCACTGGAGTAAATGTCACTCATTAAAGTCATTAAAATACATAATCTGGCAGCTATAAGTGTTAACTTTGTCTAACACACACACACACACAACACACACACACACACACACACACACACACACACACACACACACACACACACACACACACACACACACACACACACACACACACACACACCCACACACACACACACACTTACGTGCAGCTGTGACATTAACAGCTCTCCTGAGGGTCCATGTGAGTCCTTGATCAATTATCTTTCTGTCGCAGAAAAACACACTAGTGTCCTCTTTGTAGACTTGACAGAGATGTAACCGCCCAGTCTCGTCCACACAGGAGTCTCGGCCTTGCCGAGAAGACATAGGTGTATGAAGCTGTGAAAAAACAAACCTGTTGTTGAGTTTTCACTTTGATTGATATGTTTTAGTGTCCATAGTGAAATGGATAATCCTGGTAATGTGTGTGCTGCACCTTGTACCAGATGACCTCTGTGTTGTTACTACAGTTGAGACCTGGGCAGGGCACCTTCCCACCTTTATCCCGCTCCAGCACTACACTGCTCTCCTCCGCCGTGGAGCATCCCACACTGGATCTCGCCACCACGTGCAGGTAAAGGAAAAACTCGCTGCCACTGAACAGCAAGAACCTGAACACTTATTACAAGTTCAATCATGTGGTCACACACTCACACTCAAAAGTTACTGTTGTTAACCCTTTATAGGGCACTATTAGATTAACCCTAACCCTAACCCGTTTCAGGCCTCTGCTGATTGGTCAAATTCCCCAATGGCGCACTCTGTGGCGTAGAGTGATCTTCGCTGATTGGCTGGGAGAAAACCACATTCTTCTCGACCTCACTGAGTCGCTGGGGGGGACGCCATGTTTGGTGTGCGGAAGTTAACCCAAATATGGTTCCTCGCCCGATAAAGGGTTAAGTGGCTTTTCCAAAAAAAAATGTTTAAAGGCTTTACAAATATTAATTGAATAAACATAATAAAGACAGTTGATTTAAGAGTTGATAAATACAAGAGGAAAACTAATCTCTGATGCATTATTCACAAGAAATAGTGTTTGCAAAATGCATCCGAAAGCATTCACTATTTGGGTCAAATGTACAGTTGTTGTTCAGTTTTATTGCCTTTCATTCAACAGAAAGGGAAATATCCATAGAATATGTCACTTAGTCAGGGGTCGTCAGTTTACTACATAATGGGTCACTTAAAGAAATTTAAATTCTACATTATTTTCTCCAATGCAATATCACAAAGGAAATAAGCTATTTTAAGAATTGATTACACATCTTGTTTTGAAGACATTAATACCAGGTGCATTTGTTATAAAGAAAAATGTATCGGACATATTTAGGGATAAAGACATGATCATTTACCTTGAGTAATTTCCAGAATGTTTTGCTTCCACTGTGAACAGCGTTTCACACGGGATGTCATGATTTCCTTCATCTCCTTCTCCAGTCCTGGACCACACCTTCTGCTTGTGGTTCAAAGACTGTATGCACGGCATCATGAAGATCTCCCCCTCCACAGCTCTGTAGTGCTGCTGTGGCTGAACCCCTAGAGAGGGTTGTGTTTTTAAATGATAGTCAAAAAGGGCTGGGACGCCGTTCACAAATACATTCTTCCTTTTAAACACACATTTGAAGATGCCAGCTGATATATTGAAAGACAATTCAAGTTTAAATGAAATACCTGTTATTTTCACTTGATGGTTTTTCGGACAGCATCCTTCCAAGAAAATGGGAAGGCTCAAAAGCCCAAGAATGTATCCAGTTTGCATTCTGTGTCTCTAAATCTTTTAACGATATTGGTGCTCTTAACCTTTAGAAAAAAAAATGATGTGTATTACTTCATCTCGGGTTCTTGGTATGTCATTGCTTGACATTTTCCGGTCTCTTGTGCGGCAACATGAGGTGTGATATTTCCACAGTGCGTGTAGATAAACGTGGTATTTCCTGTTTGTTTATGTTTTAAAAGGGTTTAACTAGAATCGGCTCTGATATTGTCTTCCTGTAAACAGTAAACCACTTCCTATCTGGGTAAACTAAGTGAGAGTTGTTATTTCTTAGTCATATTTTACTCTGTTGCAACCCTTTACGTGTATAGTGTCATAATATTTATAGGATTTTGAGCATAAAAAATATATATATATATATAAAATAGTAGACAGCAATTCTGATAGGAGACAAAAGGCAGATTAGACACTGCCTTGAAGGTGCTTAGGTCAGGTGTTTAGCAGTCTTATGGCCTGTGGGATAAAACTGTCCCTGAGTCTTTGAGTTTTTGGAGGCATACGCATACCTGTACTTTCACTGACCTGGTTTCTAATTTGAGTTTGATTTTTGGCCTGGACAGATACAGCATTAAATTGTAAGCAGCTGTCAGCTGGTACCACAGTGTTTTGCAACACCCATGCAAATAAGGGCATATATGAATCTAAGAGAGGAGGTCAACTGAAAATGTTCTGTGAAAATGTTTCAAAATAACTTTTTACTTAATCTTTATGCTGAGATATGCTAGGCTTGTTCAGAGTGGAATTCAACTCCTCATTTCCCTATCAGAAAGATAAGAAAAATATAGATTAAGTCCATTCATCCCTGGCTTTTTGCTTCTCAGTATACTCTGTCTGCTCGACAGTTAGCGTACGGTATGGGTGCAGACTCAACCACACAGTAAATGTGCATTATTGTGCTGAAAGCATATTTGGAAACCAAAACAGAGAGCTTAAAGAAGCTAAAGGTGATCATTTTAAATTGTTTTTAATATAAAAAAATGTATGATTAACATACATTAATTAAGAACAGTAGTGGCTCAGTCAGTAGGGGCTTGGACTGTGAGCCGCAGGGTCGCCGATTCAAGTCCCCTAACAGACCTAAATATGGAGTGTGGACTGCTACTTGGAGAGGTCCCAGTTCACCTCCTGCCCTGCCGTGGTGCCCTTGAGCAAGGCACCGGACAAATGTATATGATAAAAGATATGTATTCTGATTTGCCTAAACATTTGACCATGACGGAACATCTTGACTTGTCTGAGGTAAAAGCCTTATTTTAGATGCATGCTGCGGGGCAGGTAGGTGATAACGTAGCTGCTTCCATAGGGGGAAGAGGGCGGCATGGACCTCATGCCCTTCCAGGTGACACAGGCCCCAGCCTCACTTAAAATCTGTAGGGCCTCTGGGAAGGAACCAGATCTCAACACTTCTGTTTTCTCAGTTTTGATGAAAACCAAACGGGTCTGCCGCTCCACCAGCGCTGCATGGATGGCACTCAGCAGGCCAGATCCCGGACCGGTATCTGGAGAGGGAACCAAAAGCACCGTGCGACTCTGCTATATACAGTCCAACACGGCCTCCGCTACAGCTGCAACCAACCAGGGCTCAGATTATTTCTTATTTCATTAAGATTTTTTGTTAGATTTTATTCTGAGTATTTGTTAAATAGGTACCTTTTCCTGGTAAGACGTCGCGATCATAAAGGCAGAGACTGTAACCTAACCTCTCTTCCAAAACACTCTCCAGACACTTCCTGTCATCTTCATTCAGTCCTGCGTCTGTGTCACTCTTGTAGCACATCAGAAAAGCATCATAGCTCTTTTCATCTAGGCACACAAACACAAACAACAGGGTTTTGTCACTGCTTACACATAAAGAAATGACAAATATGTGTCTCCATAACTTGAGAATCCCACCTGAGGTGCTGCTATGACAGCCAAGAGTGTCTCTTAGGAGAAGAGTGATGGTGATTTTGAACTTCACATAGATAACAACTGTCAAAACCATCACCAACACAATGCTGACAATGCCAAGAGCCAGGGGAACATAAGAAGGGAGAGCTACAGGGAGAAAACAGAGAAAACAGAGAAAAGGTTGATGGTTGAAACGTAATTGACTGAAAGGGGACTGTCACTTAAATGTGAATGAAATCTAACTCAAACATTTCAGATTTTATATTTGGACTCAGCCCATTCAAAGTACAACTATGAGTTTATTTAAGATTAAAGTGAATCATATGAACATTAATTATATCTATTCGTCTTCTTACATACGTTTTTGGAACAAGCTGATGGTGACGTTTGTTGGGCCTCCAGTAACAGTTTGCAGTTTACAGGTGTAATTTTTGTATAGATCCTCATCTGACACCTTTTTGAAAACTAGAGATGCCGTCATCTTTATCTCGTCAGCATTTATTTCACTGGAAAAGAAAGGTAAAGTACAGGTGTTAGCCATGATTGGTGTGTGTCAATATCTGGCTATGGACTGTATAACATTTGAACTTGCCGGTATATTTACTTTGTGTAATTGTAGAAAACGGGAAAGCTGCTGTTAGTTTCCACAGATTAATCACTGCTAAACCAGAACACCCCATCAAAGTCCGAATACATGAGAGCTTTACAATCAATCACCGTTGGAGAGCAAGAAAGGGTGGAAACATTTTACATAGTGATTTCTTCAAAATACAAAAGTAAACATATGGTGTAAGTGTTTTTCTTACCCTTTGGTTGGATATCAAGCACCACTGTAAAGGTCATGTTATATATTTGTCCATAATACAGGTAAGATCTGGTACAGGTGTAGACACCATGGTCCTTCTCTTCAACACTTAAGAAGTAACTGGCTTTTGGCGTTGACTCGCCTTCCTACAAGGAAAAATAAGTTGTAATTTAAAAAAAATGAATGAAAACGAGCCTTAAATATAGAAAATGCATTACATTTCAAAAATAGAATAAGATTTAGATTGGTTCATAACATGAGCTAAAACGTTATTTCAGAACAATGACCACCTGACCAAAGTGTGGAAATAATGGTTGTGCTTATACCTTGTGCCAAATGTCGTTGTTGCTGGTAATATTCAGGGTGGTAGCAGCAGGTGCGTTTACATTAGGACAAATCAATCTGCAGACCTCCCGTGTATAACATGGTTGAGGGTAAGTGCTTTCGTTTCTCTGCTTTGTGTAAACTGTCACCCTGAACCAGAGCTGGCTGCTGGAGTTGCTGTCATGACAATAAGGATAAAGGTTAATATAAAGGTTTCACTTTACATCTGAATACCAAACACTCACAATGAATGTGAAAGTAAATCAGTTTCTCAATTATACATTTCCCTCTTGGTTTTTCTACACAGGTAGTTTTGGTATCATTTTACAAGATTTGCACATGAAACTCAACATTTGTATCTTGGGATGGTTACTAGAAAGCTGTGAACAGTTCAGGAAACAGGAAAGCTTTGATGTCTCTTCGTGATGTATTTGGTTTTCAAATGAAGACTTCAGGGGAGGCGTAGCTGGGATCAGGCTATTGTCCGTCATTACTAGCTTGCTTTGTATGAAGACATCCAGGACTATAAATATAAATGCTTTCTAATTTTAGGAGTCCATCTGCATGACTGGCAGATAAATACTCAAAGATACTTACAGTATGCCACATGTTGTATACTACTACTGTGTCAGACCTTAAAATAAAGTCATAATAGTGGTAGCACTGATAAGTGTTTACCAAGATGAGAGAATACTCCTCTGCAAGTCTTCCATTCAAACATGCATTTAAAATCTTAATTATATAGCTTTCAGAAATGATCAGAACAATGTAGCACATGTCAATAATCAAAGTACAAAACACGTCTCAACTAATGAGTCGCATTTATTATAACTGATTCATCTTGTGCATGTAAACTTAAATGTTGTCATGGTGGAGCTAATTTTACAACTTATACAGTTGGGTGTCACAAGAAAATATCAAAAGCACTGTGAGATGATCAACAGGTAGGAATGCAGAAACAGCACACTTTATATTTTGTAACTGTATTTTAACATGACCCATAACATGTTTATTGAATGCATCAAAATCAAACACCAAGGCGACTCCCTTTAAAGTGAAATTCAACATGAAAATCTAATTAATTTTGATGCAACTGAGAAAACAAAAGGGTGGTTTTTGTTGTGAAGAAGTCACAGGAAATGCAATGTGGCCTGCACATTTGTTAGCGCAAAATAGGTAATTTGAAAGTCATCCACTAGGTGGCATAAGACAAAAGGTTTTCATTCACCTGAAATATACTTATTGTGCTTCAGCAGTTCACAGAGCAACTATGGCCGTTTCTCAATGGCGAGGATATTGGCTTCCAAGCCAATATTTCAAGGATGCTACGTCATCGAGTGCCGCCGAAGGACTGTTCCAATCTCCAGCATACTTGGAATTCCACCGAGGCCGCGTCCTTGGTTTGGGGGAAATTTCGAGGCTGCACATGGGAAGACTGCACACTTGCTAGCCTGTTCCACTCTTCGTTTTCCGAATGCCAGGAAGTATTCTTGCCTTGCTTCTGAAGCAAGATGCTCGGCTCGGCTGTGCTACCAAGCCAGCATCCTCGCGATTGATAAACGGCCTCTGTCTCCTAAAAATTACGTTCCCACAGAACTAAACTGCATTCTCAATTACGTTTAGCTAGAAACATATTTTCTCCCACGTTATGTTTGTTATGAACGTATCTTAAATACGTTTATTTTCTACATATCTTTGCCATTTATTGTCTTGCTTATAATAATGATAATAGTCATTTATAAATATTATTTTAGATCACACATTTTAAATCGACAATCGGGTTCGATATATGGTTAAAATCAGTAGGCGAGGCTGTAATTTCGCCAGCTGTTACTCTCATGAGCAAGGCAGAAAATAATAGTTGTATCATGCCAAAAAGCTGCTGTGTCGTTTATTGCACCTCAAACATTAAAACAAATCCAGAGTTACGTTTTTCTGTACTTCTTCTAAGAAAAAAGGACAGTAAAAGAAGAGCTCTGTGGCTTCAGGCTTGATCGCCGTTCAAATGACAGCGTTGGTTTCCCCAAAAGTGGGCGGGGCTGTAAAGTGACGTATATTTTACTCTCAGCTATGGACATCGATCGTCTACTGCTATATTTAACCATCGAGCCCGATCGTCGATTTCCAATGATTTAATGTAATTGTTTGCCTGTCTGGCCATTATAATCGGGCTCTTTGAATATTCAAAAATCCATGGTTTTCTTAC